AAGTCTCTCCCCCCCCCCTCCCCAAGTCTGTTCTTTTCTCAGTCTGGAAATGTTTGTTAAAATTAAGGGAGTATTTGCTGAGAAAATATTTTAATTTCATTTCATGTGTTCCAAAGGCACAACAACTACCTGCATGAGTGCACAGGCATCCGTGACCTCAACTACAGCTACAACGTCCATGACTTGAAGCTGCTGCTGTTGAGGTTTGCCCAGGAGAAGTCGTTCAGCGAGGAGAGTGGGGGAGGCGGTCCTCAGTCCAACATGTACCTGGTGCCCTTTGTCCTGCATATGGTTCTCTACGCCATTAACACGTAAGTCTTAGTTACTCTCTCTCCCAGACTTTTTTGTCTCTTTTTGTCTTTCTCTTTCTCTCCCTCTCCCCCATCTCTGTCCTTATCTATCAACTTCTGTCACTGTCTCTCTCTCTGTTTCTCTCTTTCTTTCTACCTACTTTCTTTCTCTCCCCCCCCCCCCCCCCCATCTCTCTCCTTGTCTGTCTGTCTCTCTCTCCTCCTTCTCTCTCTCTCTCCTCCCTTTCTCTCTCACCTCCCCCCCCTCTCTCTTCTCTCTCTCTCTCTTGTTCTCTCTCTACCTCTCTCTCTATCTTTAGATAGATGATGGAGACTCTCTGGTATGGAATTCTGGGGGGGGGTATTCATTCTTGTTGTCACAAGTTGGGAATTATCTTAATCACTTAGACTATTCTCTGAGAAATGTGACCATGTGGTTTCTAGATGTATATGTAACTCTGTAACTCTGCTCCTCTTTCTCTCAGTAGATCTTGTTTTTTGCCGTCCATCTTTCCGTACTTCTTCCTTTCTTCTGCTTCTAATTGCTGAGCCCAGCACTCTACCTATGAATTTTTCTGTATGTGGTAATGTGTTGAACTTGTAACTTGCTCCCCCCCCGGCAAATGTGTGAAACAAAAAAGGTCATTCTATCTCCTCTGTTGCAGTACGAGAGCGACCAGCCGAGAAGAGAAGAACGTGACAGGTTTCTTAGATCAGCCACCCTCCAAATGGGCAGAGAATTGTGGAGAGGTGAGTGGCACCAGGAAAATGTCATCCTGTTTGTTTGTGGAGAACATTTGTTCATCACTGTTTGGTCATATAATAATAATAATAATAGATAGCATTTGTATAGCGCATATCCCCGCTCAACAGCAGGCTCTATACGCTTTACACTATATTATTACCCCAGCAGACCATAGAACACTCCAAAACATTTTCAGCTTCCCGAGAAGCATACAGTGCAAGCAGCCGATTAAGCGCTCAAACACTAACAAACTGACAAGATCTTTCGCTGTCTATAGCCGGGTACCCATTCCCACCTGGGTGAAGTGAGGAAAATTCGTGTAAAGTGCCTTTCCCAAGGACACAACGACGGGCCCCTGACAGGATTCGAACCCACGACCTTACGGTTGCAAGTCCGAGAGCCTAACCACTAGGCCACCGACGCCACAACAACTTTTTGTAGTCTAGGCAACTGACACACTTACAAACACACTCTCTCTGTCTCTCTCCCTTTCCCTCTCTCTCTCCCTCTCTCTCTATCTTTCTCCCTCTCTCTTTCTCTCTCTATCTTTCTCTCAGGTTGTTTGTTGTGAGTTTTGGTGTGGTCGGTCCCTACTTTCCTTGTGTTGTCATTTGTGTTAATTCCATTCAGTATGGCATCCTGTTTGCCCATGAAACACATGATTTTAACCACGCCGTCCTTCTTTCCTATCAAACATCTATCTTCCTTATCTCGCCTCTTTTTGTTTGTTTGTTACTTTCTTGTAACACCTTCAATCTTTCGCACTTATATGACCAAATTTTGTTGCAAGCGACGTAATAGCTTACTAAAACAAAATGAATTATCCATGTATCCAATACAATGTGTTTGTATGTGTGTGTATATATATATATATATATAGAGAGAGAGAGAGAGAGAGAGAGAGAGAGAGAGAGAGAGAGAGAGAGAGAGAGAGAGAGAGAGAGAGAGAGAGAGAGAGAGAGAGAGAGAGAGAGAGAGAGAGAGAGAGAGAGAGAGAGAGAGAGAGAGAGAGAGAGAGAGAGAGAGAGAGAGAGAGAGAGAGAG